GGAGTACTCTCTCTCTCTCTCTCTCTCTCTCTCTCCTCGCGTCGTAAACGCTTGACGTTACTGCTTTCTGGCAATAGGATAAGCCTTGATAGTCGAAAAGTTAGAAACGAAACAGCTAACGCGAGCTACCCCTTGTTATTAAATAATTTGGGGATTTAAATTTAGAGAGAAAATATTCGCATTAAGATTAAATGGATCGAAAAATGAGACATGGAGGGATAAATAAAATGAATTCGAACGAACGAAAGATTTGATATTAAATAGCCTGATCGACTGACCTTGGTCTGTGACGCATGAAAGTCGTCGGCGATGTTCCTGAGGTTGGCGCCTACGCTCGCCCATTGGCTCTCGTTGAAGGCCTGTCCCAAGTGGCCGCAGCATTTCTTGCAGATTCGCTCGGTGGCAGGCCCTTTCTTCGTAGTAGCGCCACCACCCTCCGAGGCGAGCCTGCGTCTTCGCGGTCGTGGCCTTGGGCTTGGCACCGGTGCTGCACCGTTCTCGTCCCCGCTGCACTCTGGGAACTGGAACGCCGCGTCCCTGGTTGGGCTGCTGGGCGCGGACACCGTCACCTGGGGCGTCGGAGGCGGAAGTTGTTCCACGGCGGACAGCACGAGATCAGGCAGCGGCAATCGGGACAGATCAGAGTCGACCAGGACCACCAGTTGTCGGTCGTCACCGCTTCGTCGTGGCAACCGATCTGGAAAACAGACGAGCGTGTGATTTTATCCTCTTTGAACGAACCTACGTGTTACGATTAAAGTAATTTCGAAGTCGGGAGGCAAGATTGTGGCAAATTGTATGCGTCGATCATAAAATTAAAACCAGTTTAAAAGAAAAAAAATTAACGATAAAGGAAAGTTTCTTTTATGGAAATCGATATCGATTATCTGTGAATATTAATATGATTAGAAGGCAGCCTTTTATTATTATTATTTTTTCTTCTTTTTGTTTGATACAAGAACGAATCGATGATTATAGTTATCGTTTCTATCCTTCGATCGAAAGACTTTCTAAAACCTGTTCGACGAAATATCGAAAGGCAAATCTCGAGATGTCATCGTGGCTGTCTAATCATGATCGGCCGCGATTTGTCAATCCTGCATCATCGTCTCTCATAAATCTTCCGTAAAATTCAAACTCGATAATCCCGGCGTCGAACCGCCTCTCGAGTTCCAGCCAGTAAAGTTCAAACTTTCCTCGATCATCCGATAAGTTGGCCGACGATTCATCATCGCGGTTTCGATCGGTCGGAGCGATCTCACCGACTGCCTACTGGAAATACAGATGGCAGTTGCGATACGGTAATCGACGAAATACGCGGTCCAGCCGATTCGTATTCAACGTATCTGGATTTGCCATCGATAATTAATCGTGGCGCAAAGGCGAGTTGGGTTGCGTCACACAATGGAAATGCTAGGATCTACGTACGCACGAGGGCTGAGAGCGTTGCTTATAAGGTTTAATGCCAGCCTCTGGACAACAGCAATAGCGATCACCTCGGTGTTGCCCCTTATGGCAACCAGTGACATTGTTGGCTAATGATTGTCTGAAAATTTACAATGCTCGATAGCCTTCGCTCAACCGCGATTTCGACACGTCCGCGACACGATACGATACGTGTACGGATAGCAGAGATCGTGCAATAGCCGAGCCGAGTTTCTCTGAAAAATGGAGGAGTTAAAAGGAAGAAAAGAAGCGGAGAATATATATATACGTATATGTAGCGGTGGCTGGTGTGGTATCTGGCGGTCAGGAAACGCGCGATATCGGACAGCCGAGCGGGGAACGCTCGTGTTTCGACGCTTTTATCGCCGCCAGTAAGTCCGAAGAAGAGTTTTTCGGTTGATAAGTGGCCACGCGTTTTACGTCTCTCGCGTCGACGCCAGATAAACGCGGCGTAATTCCGGCTGAGAGAACCGGTAAACAGAAATGCACTCGGTTGCCCGTTTTTACGACGTCTTCGATAATTAACCTTTTTAAGTAGGAGCCTCTCCGTATATCAGTGTAGACCTCAATTTTGGCCATTGCTCGATGCCTCTGCATCGTTTCTTCGTCCGTCGATTTCTATATACCGTAAATTTTCTCGTTTCTCATAGTTCGTTTCACATGAAAATTGTATGAGAAAATACAAAGATCGGAATAATTTGTAAATCTTTGAAAAAAATTGCAGCGTATACTTTCGAGTCGAGTCGAACTTTCGTAAAGTATACGTTGAGGAAAAATTATTTCCAAGCGAAGCGTTCAATGCATTTGAATGAGTTAAGAGCGAAACGCAGGTCAGGGTCGATAGTAATTAATTTTAACGAAGCCTTTTCGCAGGCCCAAACACTGGTCGCAACAGGCCTAACGGTTCATTGTTCGCAACATTTCCGAGACAAATTTTACGAACCGCGAAATGGTAACTCGTAAATCGAGTGCAACTGTTTTGGAATTTTCGATGCGGAGGACGGAGTTAACCGGGGATCGAAGGAAGCACGATTGGCATCGAAAAGCCCAGTACATAATCAGGTAAGACGATTGAACTGCATCGTATCACGCGAACGCATGAATAATCGCGACTATATCACTGACTCATCCATCCACCAGTCCCATTAATCCTTTCTGCATTGTCGAGCCACGGATTAAAAGCTTTAAAAGTGTTTCTCAATCGCTTGGAGAGCTCCTCTCTCATTACGCTTCAAATTAATCTCCGACCGTTATTACATCATTGTGAAATATCTAGAATAAGATTTTTATTCAAAAGCCTGTTTACAGACACGAAGCGTATTAAACTTTCAAACGCTTGATGACATTTCAAATCGAAAAAGAAAAAAAGCTCAATTTGATCGATCAATTTTCAACATCTAACAGCGACTTATGAAAAAAAAAAAAAAGTTCCCTTTCTTCATCGATACGTCGACGAGCTATGAATCCTCGCTTGCAACGCGGCCGTGGGCTGACAGAAACATTTAAACGCGCGGGTTTTTCGATGGAAGCGTGGCGCGGATAAATCGAAGCCATGCGTGACAAAATAACAATTCCTCCGCGCCTCCGGCCGCCATTGTCTCGGGGACCGGTCCCGTTTGCGCGTGCGCGCCCGTGCTGCTCGCGCAGTTGCATCCTTGACATTTCGAGTAAACGTCCGCGCTTGCGCCGGCGCGCGCGCAGCCGCACTCTCGGCCCACACTCTCGCGAGCCGCTCTTTCACTTGTGCAAGAACCGAGCATCGAGCCAACACAACGCATCGTCGCCTACTCGCTCGATCGCGAAATCTCCACGCTTTTCACTTCGCTTGCAAAACAGTCTTGTCCGGCCCGCACTACGCTTTCTACGCTTCTCCATTTTCCTCCGTAAAATGTCACTATATTATATTACACCAGATGGAAACACTTTTCCAAAACAACCGATTTATGCAACGATCCCCAAGTAATTGCCAATCCCACCCGCTTATTACCGCAGATTCGCAATTTACGATCGAACGCTTAGCCAGCCTAATTCTGACTTACGCTCCGGGAAACCTCGATTCGATATGCACGCGATCCTAAATCCCAATAAGTGCTTTTCGCGGATTTTATGACACGCAGGGACAACGATACGTTCCAAAATTTCTATTCGAATCGACACGACGCTACGAAATAATTCTACGCGATTCTAAGTAAAAGGGGAGAAGGAGGGAGGCCGGTCGCGCGCGGGTCCCGTTCGGGGCAAAAAGTGCAGCGCGCACGTGGCCAACACCCGCGCGCACGTTGCGATCTCTTTGGATCCTCTCGGGTGCACGCGCGCGGTTTCGTGGGATCGGGGCGGGGAGGAACCGACGAAAAGGAATCGAGGCGAAAGGCCTCGACGCGCACGGAGGAGGAGTATATAAAGAGCGAGAAGAAGGTCGGAACGAAGGGCGGGGAAATGGCGGGCGACGAGGGGGAACGTTTAGACGGAGTGAAAAAAAACGAGGTCCACGGGAGGAATGCGTTGCGAGGAGAGAGAGAGGGGCGGAGATAATCTGGCGGGGGGGAGGGAAGGGAACTCGAGGAAGGAAAAACAGGAAGGAGAAGAGAAAAAGGAGGAGGGGAAAAAACGTGGAACAAGGGGAAATTTCGAGTGTGGAGACAATGTGTACGCGTTATGTCAAAGGGAAGGGAAAAGGGCGAGAGGAGTGGGAGCGGATCTGAGCTGTGGCAGCATATGCGAGCACGTGACTCACATGGAGCGCCCTTTGTACGCGTAAGTGCAACGCAACTTGTTACAGTATGCACATACGTGTAATCCCAGTGGCGCTCGCGCGATCACTCGGACGGCTGTGTGCGCGCGTAGGTGCGAGCGGGTTGCTGTGCGCGTGACACGGAGAATACGTGAGCCGTGGTGAACGCTCAACTGCACAAAGAACCCCTCTCAAGGCCGCTGCAGCCGCGACACACACCGGAAAAATAGCACGGGCGCGCGCGCGCGCGCGTAGAAATACCCGCGGTGGTGGTTTTCTTCTCGTGCCACGGTTTTTTTTTTATTTTTGTTCCTATTTTTCTTGAGATTTTTCCAAGACAACGAGACAAGGAATGATGAAGGAACACTGTGCCGTCGTAACAATCGATTGTTACAAGTTCAATCCAATCAGTCTGAAGTGCGAATTAATCTTTACGCGAATTTGGAAGTTGGGTTTCCCGAGTTAAGAGTCATTGCGCTGCATTTGTTCGGTCGCTTTGTAATTATAAGGCGCAGCTGGGAAAACATTGCGAGTTTGTTTTTGTTGATCTTGTAATTTTCACTGGGCTTAGTGGATATGTTTTCGATATTTTATCGGAAACGTAATTATTATCGGGTGTTAAAAGATTGATCGTATTTTCCTTTTTTTTTTAAATTGGTTCGATAATTTTAGCGTATCTTGAAAACAATCTTACAAATGTTAGAATTAGATCGTTATTTGATCATCGTAACATTTTTATCTTGGATTATTAATATTATATCGATTAACAATATATATATGTTACAAAAATGATATAATAAAATCAACAAAAGTACAAGACATATATATATATATATATCGATTAGATATCTGCATTTATTGAGTTTTGCGATTTAAAATGAGTCATCGCGCAATGAAATTCAGTCTTATCAAACTTACACATATATAAATTCCCCGTCCCGTAATAGAAAATATCGCTCGTTCAGCCTACTCAAGAGAGAACCAAAGTCGTAAATAGGCGATGATTTCTCCAGGATATGGACAATCCGTTCGGGCAATGTTGTTCGAATCGGTGAACGTTTCTCACAAAAACGACGAATTCTGCGTTTTACTTGAAACCAATGACACAACGACTTCGGAACGCTTCGTGGAAATCTTATAAACCTGCTGATGATAATCCGATATAAATGCTCCCCACTGCGCGAATTCGATTCACGACCTGCTCCATCCCTTCTCCCCGCTCTCCATTTCAGAATCGAACTCGATGTTTCCACGTTTCGAGTAATTCTCGATCCACGAGGCGAGAAGGCAATCGATTCACGACGTGCTCCATTCTTTTCTTTTTTTTTTTTTCCCTTATGAACGATCCGTCGATCCCTGTTCCGAGTAATTCTCGATCCTCGGGAGGACAATCGATTCACGGCGTGCTCCGTTTTTTCCTGTCGAGGATCGAACGATCTTTCCATGTTTCGATTAATTCTCGATCCACGAAGCGAGATCTCGCGCAAGGATCGTTTCCAAGCGGTTTGCTTGGAAACAAG